GAAAATATGGGCCAAAAAGAACGTGTTGTTATAGCACCATTAGTTTTTGTGGGGTATTCTGTCTTTTAAACACTTAACGTTCATTTTTCTGGTGGATATTATTTCTCCACATTATTTTCAATAAAGTTTCCTAACTTACGCTTATACTGAAATTGATATTGCTACAGCATTCTTGTTCCCTGTTGCTGTGGCCACGGATGTAAGATAATCTAAGTATGAGGAGGAATTAAAACTAAAATTAATTTGTTTCCGATCAATACATTAAATATGATTTTTCGTAAGTTTGAATTGGCTTTACCTTTTTAATTTTCAAAAGAGATTTAACGCTTACATTCACAGACACACTTGTAAACCTCATAACTAGACACCATAAAGTGCCTGGAGTAAACTGTTTCTTCAGGTAACTTTAGTTGACGAATATAATGAAGTGCAGGGTCGATTTTTTGCACTGTCGAAAGGTTCTCTTCGAATTTATGTTAATTTTGTTTCAACTGAACCACGATATCTTCAAGTTTTCCCACAATGCAGAATAATTAATAGAACCCAGATAATACAACTAAACTTAATAAAAGCTCCCAAGACTCAGGACACACTTAAAAACCCTTGCACTGTTTCACTCACTAGTTTATACGGATAGTTCGAATGGCGCGTTTCGCTAAGGCATGGCCGGAAACTGGCGATCAGCCTAGATTCTCCGTATGTAGCGAAGAGTAGGAGCGCTTAACCTCAACAAAATAATATGAATCGCTGTGGCCGGTTGTTTTCAACTCGATGTACTAATATTAACACACTGCGATTCCTTTGCTATCTTCTCGTGCTAATAGTACTAATAATCAATAAGAGCTAATATTAGCATAATTAGCGATTCTTTTGGTTTATCTTCGTTGTTTTATACCAATTTTATGGTTGTTTCGTAACAAAGTACCCAAATTTCTGCCGAAAATATTTAAAATGTCATATTTTTAATGGATTGTTTGGTGATTGCCTCATCTACCGATGACCAGACGCCTCGCCATTCAACATAGTATAAATCATTCTCAAATACAAGTCAAAATAAATTATAGACATACTATTATTTATGTGAGAAAGGAAAATGAAAGTTCTTCTATTATCCAAATGTCGTCACTCAACTTAGTAATTTTACAAAACCTCAAACACGCGTAAGCAAATTAAGTATAGATGTAACTAACCAAACCACGGTGTTCCAATGACAGTAGTAGCAGGATCTCAGATTATAAATAAACAAATAAATGAAATTGATCCAATGTCGAGCGATTCTTCCAAGTGAGTTCTGGCTTGCAAATTGCTACGTAAATGCAATGAAAATACTCAAAATACTGACATTTTTTTCTCAAGTAAAATTCATATTCCAGTAAACTACTTTCATAACAAGCGACTAATGGTGAATGATATAGATGTCATGAAATTTTATGTCACGTTGACATGATACAACAAATAATTTTATTTTTAAGTTTTAAGTTCTTAATTGTGCATTTTAAAAGAAAGGATCGTGCGGAAAATAAGAAGCAGCTGTGTGTCTGCTATGACTTTCTAAGCTTTCGACTACCATTTCCATTGAGAATGCGAAACAATTCTGAAAAAAACAAAGTCATGACGGAAGAGTTCGCCCCGGTTCTAAACAATGAACAAGAATAACTTTCTAGAACAAGAATAACTTAGTATAGTTCTTCATATTTAACTGTTTATAGTAATGTGGTACACTGTGGAGGTAAGTTTTGCTGTCAAGTTTTAAAATAACTCAAGAGATTAGGTTAATTTTTTTTTATTCTTAATTTTTTGATTCCTACATCAGCGGCGGATCATATTACTTTCGTCTTCAATTTTATTCTGATACCCGGATCTAAACATTTTCTTACATTCTTCTGTAATGTTTTGTTCTCTGTAAAGAGTGGAACAAACTGGACCAAAACGTTAGTGGATGTTTGTTACGTTTTGTTGTTTATGTTTGCTGCTACTTTTGATTCAAGCAAATATGAATGTATTAATGTAATTCATGATGTAATATTTATATGACTACAAAAATTTTTGAAAATGAATTAATTTGACTATTATAATTATTAATATTAATACCCAGACAAACGTATACATTGTACAAGTAATAACAGTACAGAGTTTGTTCAAATGTTTTATCAGCAATTTTCGAACTCAGAAAAATTAATAATTTAAGTAGATATCGTGTTTAAAAAAAAGGTGGTGATGAATATAACTTAACAAAATCTTTTTCGCTGTCAGTGTTCAAGAAATGCATTTTTCACAAACACAATTAAAAAAATTCCTTACAGATTTATTGTTCATGTAACAAGAATGTTTCATTTTGACAGATGAATTTGTTTTTGAATTATGAAGGAAAATTTACATCAATGAAATCCAATACGTTCTCAAAGAACATGTTCCCTTTAATCCCTCAAAACTGATATTTACAAAGTGTTATCAAAGGTAACTTTTAAACAAATGCATGGATTTATTGTAATTTTCAGGGAATATTATGTGGGTCAATACATACAACAAGAATCAGAATAAATCGTTTAGCTACATTAGTTACATACTTATGAATTTGTAATTATTGAAACATTCAATAATTCATGATATCCAATATATTAAATAGAATAAAATTGGTTTAGAATTTATTGTTGGTGTAAACCTAGTTCATGTTGTACCTTCAACACTGCTCTACAGTTCCTGATTAAGAAAACCCAAATAAATTATTACAGGTGAATTCATTAGTTAAATAGTAAGAAACTACATTTTTGAACGAGCTTGGTTGAAACTAAACATTTTGATACTTGAAATTTTTCATTTGAAATATCACTTTCTGATAACTGAAAGACAGCTAAAGAGACACACAAAATCCTTTTATGCTGAGAGACACGAAAGTTTCAAAAATTTAAAATTTCGCAAGGGTATGTGTATGTATGTCATGTTAGCTAGTAATAAGAAAAAGTAATCTTATAATACCATTATAGCAAATGAATGTCAGATTTAGGTTCAAGGAATTCCAACTACAAAAGACGCTCAGTACTAACATATCCCTGCACTTCATTCGTAGAAATCCTGTTCATGATATTCAGAAAATTATTTTGTGGTAAAGATGTTTCTAACAATTGACATCTCACAAACGTGAAAAGTTAGGTCTTAAAAAACACAGACACAAGATAAAACTGGACTCTGCTTTTGGCATTGATGATATTTTTGTCATCAAATATAGAACAAGACAGCAGACCACAATTCTCTCTCCAGAGAGAAAATTGGAGAGAAAGTTGAAAGGTGTATCAGTTACGCACATTTAAAATACATATGGCAAAGGTGACATTTTTGGGAACGAGTATCAGTAATTTGCTGAGTTTTTCTTCACTATCCCTAGTCTTAATAATAAATACAGAGGATATCTTCTCTCTTGTAAATGCACAATCAAAAAATACAATGAGACAATTAGATTCTTACTTGAAAACATAAAAGATGTAGTGTTAGTTTGCAGTGCACCAAATATTGAGAGAAATTTCTTCATTCATCAAGTACTTTTCTTATAAAACTGAAACTAATATTTTAAATTTGATTAATTGTTAAAATAAAATTGTGTTCATTTATCACCAGTTATTTTCAATATAATATATACAATTAAATATTATAGGGACTTCATAATGTTAACAGCCTAAATTTGTATTGTACATTAAAAATTCCATTCACTGAAAGGAAAATAATTAAAAATAATAATCTTTTCCCAAATTGTAACCACCAAATAGTAAATGATTTTGTTTGAAGTGTATCTTGTAACTATTAATCCTCTTAATACATACAAAACATGGAGAAGAAGAATCCTCTTTCTGTGCAATATCCTTTTTGACTCCACACCTATGGTAACCCAACATATTCTTAACCATTTCCAATAAAAAGACTATGAAGAATTGGTAATTCACGTATGTGCAAATTAAAAAATCATGCATTATGCAGACTGACAGTCAAGGTGAACTGCAAAACAATAGGTCTATGATCCGACTAACACATCATTATATGTGTCTCTACTTCTTTGAAAAAGAATAATTACAATAGATTTACAATACTGTATTAATGCCATTATTTTTAATTCACAATAATCAGATTTTATGTAATATAGGAGTACAGAGAAAATTTGTTTCGAATGAAGTCACTATTCGTACATATAAAATAATTTCCATAAAACACATACAAAGCTGTTTTGATATGAATACATAATTGTACAATGTTAGTGCTTTATTCTATTGTATTTATAAACAGTACTCATAAATGAAACCAAAGTAAATAGAATAAATCTGAGAATTTGAAATATACCAGTAATATATATTCAGCAATACATTATGTCCTCTATTACCTCATCCTGAATGTGAAAACAAATCTCAAAGCAACTATCTAAGTACTCAACTATCAATCTCATCATTTAGAATATTCACAATGTTATTAATAATTTGTCCATTTTTACTTAAATTTAACTGTACAATTATGTATAAACATACAACATAATGTTTGTCCTAAACTTTTCACATTGTTTGGAGACACACATCAGAACCATAAAAACAAAAAATATATCTTGATTTTGAGTCAAGAGTTAACAAAAGTTATTTTGCGAAGAACCAAAGTTTGCACAACACACTAGAAAAATAAAATAAAAATAACCATGCATAGTTTTTTATTCCAAATGACAAATTGTATGATTGCAGCAATACAATAGAAAAAACAATTTTGGTGTAACAATTACAGCACTGTTTCATTTGTCGCTGATGCATTTGGCACTTCTTTACCACCAGAAGTTTTAGTCAAAGAGGGAAGGTTTTTAAGATTGGTGTAAGTAAATGTTTTAAATGTGTTAACACAGTAAAGTTTATATTAATATTGCAGTGATCACTATGTTTGAGGCGTTTTAAAATACCACAGATGACTTAGTACCTGATAATAGCTATAATTCATACGAAAAATGTAATTAGACTATAAAGAGCACAGTTACTTACCACTGTTGTATGAGGCTCAACGGTAATTGTTGTATTTAAATGATCTAAAAACCACTGTGCACGCACACTACGAGATATTCTATATTCCTTTTTCATAAACAAATAAACAGTTTCTGCTTCCAGAACATCCATGTCCTGAAACCGTAGAGGAGAATTAATGCTTTCTAAGCATTTGTTATTAACGTTCCTTATCATGAAGTAAAATACAAGAAATTACTACCACGTACATCGACATCATCTGCCCCATCACTCTCCATTGTCGTCATTTTATTAATTTGAATGTCAATTAAAAAGGGTAACGAAGTGACTATCTACACTCGGTTACATTGTTCTCTTTTTAGTTTCTAGGCTACATTCTAATTGCTTTATCACAAATATTGGTTTCTGAGTCATCACGTCGCTCATGCTAACCAAACATCTGGCGCCGCCATGAACTGAATAATGTGGTCTCCACTATGTACGCGATACAACCACAATCAATTGAGCTATTGTGTTTTCAATTAATTTATACATGTCATTAATGACACCTACAAGTTAACTCTAAAAAATCTTTGTTTTGCGATTTTATCGCACGAGACCAACCACTAACGCACGTTTCATTGACACACAGTTCACCTATACTAAACATAGTAACGCAAAAATTATACAAATAGGGCCCTTAACAATTTATTTTCCTTCACTTATTACTTCCACGAATATTATGATACACAATATAAAATAAGTTTATTAACACTCAATTTTGTTTCAACTGACTTTGTAATAATCTTTAAAAATTGCGGGCAATCTGGGAATCCCGACATGGCCTAGTTAAGTTGGTATTGCAATTCGATGTTATGGAACATCGTTGACAGGAAAACCAGAGAACGGAAAATGTCGAACAGCTGGACCAGATTGACTCCTTTTCTGTCACAATGCACTCTCTAGCGGCAATGTTTTGTACTCGCTGTAACAGCATGCTGCTGTTTCTCAAAAGCGGGATATTCAAAAGCAAATTGACTTGAAATGCTGCCACGTGCTGCCACCCAAGCATTCCTGAATTTTGATGGTCGTCGCTCGTGAAACCGGCGAATGTTAGCAATGGAATATCATGAATGACGCCATATTTCATGGGAGAAGTTGATAGATGGCCCCGTGATAAAATCTGTACTTCACAATCATCACCACCATGTGTGATTATTGTGTTTATTTGTGTTGGTGTTTACCACCAATTGTGTTTATTTTCTCACTAACCTTTCCTTCTCGTATCTACTTCGGTAGAAAGAGTAAGTTATGTAAAGAAAAGGTTAGGAAAAGCAGGAAGTATAAAGGTAGAAAATCATTTCAATTTTGGACGTTTGTGAGTTTTGATACCGCAAAGTGTTGTTTTCTTTCTCAAAACATCTGCTCGTCCATCTGTTGGTGAACAACACCTCAACCAGGAGTTCCCAACGGGATGGTATCAATCCTCTAAGGAGTCGACATTTAAAAGGTGGGACTTATTGCACAGCGCACGATAATCGGCAGTAATCTCTCCACAACTACACCACTTTCAAACATCACTGCATACGTAAGTCGAATTGCCCAAGCTCGATATTGCTGTCGATTGCTGTAAGTCAATTGCTGCAAAAAGTCCTCAAGGGGTAGATTGGGGGCAATGTATGAACCGACAATTGATCGGCATAAAATAGGACAAGATCCTATTAAATGAAACCAAAGGTGCTACAAGACTACATACTTTCTCACATTAATTACAGTTACGTAATATTATAACACTGAGATTTCTGTCCATATTAACATGTCCATTAGGGTGTCCTTATATTTCAATTTTTTTGTAGATTTTCCCTTTTTTGGGCTCACTTTCTAAATATTTTCCATTGGGTCAAATTTATTCAAAAATACAATTTCAGATCAATATGTCAATATTAACCCGTGCCGAATCGAGCGCGAAATTTTAATGTTAGGGATCATTGGTTTTGTTGTGGTAAATCAGTGGAAAACTACTGATACATGTTTAATATATAATTTTATATTACAATTTATTTCATTTCCACTCTTTAGTTGTTATGGTTTTAACTTGTGGCGTGAGTACCTTTTTTTCAGTGTTTCGTCCTTGCAATATGTGTACAGTGACCGATGTTCTTGAACAACACAACAGAAATTGCTTCCGTTCCTTATCTACATTCAGAATCCATGAAAATTTTGAATTAATGGAACAGGCCTTTCAGCGCAGTCATTCAAAGCTTTCAACTTTATAAATAACCTTTGAGCTTCTAAAAATGAAGAGTTGCTTGACGAGGTCGAAGGACGTTCTTTAATAAAACTAGTATCCATCTTCAGGCAAGAGAACATATCTGCTTTTGGTTGATACAAAGTTGTCTATTGTTTTCATTGAAATTAAGATTAAATTGAATTAGGAGATGTATTATATATAAACGAATTAATAATTAAAGAACGGTCATCGGGATAAAATTGCGTTTGCGATATTATTCTCCATCCAAATCTCCACAAAAAGGAATATAACATTATTTCATGTGTAGATTCTCTTAAGCTAAATTTTCTTTCATTTTGATTTGTACGTATATTTCATCATCAAAGACGTTTGTACGTTTAAACATCAAAGATTTCTGCACCATTTTGATTTTCATTTGTAAATTTACATTTACTCATCATCATCATACAGACAATTTTTCTGATAATTACAACATACGATGTCTAAATTTTTTTAAAGCTGCTTTTCAAATTGTGGAATCTATACTTTCATTTTAGAACTTTTAAAAAAGCATATATCGTGATAAAAAGCTTTTACAGCTACACTGCACCAAAGTCACGGTTTGACAAAAACAGTTACAATCAACAGAGAGACATTTTTAAGGAATTCCGCAATTTTGAAAACCAGATGAGCTACTGACTGTCCCCAAACGTAACAACAATTGGAAGTCTTTCTTCTTTTGGTATTTAATGCAGGCAACAGTTTATCATCCCAAACAACAGTAAAAATGTCAGATACTTTAATTTTAGAAGCAGAAGTAATTGTTTCTTAAAGTTATTTTCTCTTCTTTTGTCTGATTCGAAAAATATAACATTTATTAATATAGACTTCTTCGGGGGTTGTGGCCAAGTGCCTCTACTGTCGCCTGAAGGATGAATGCAGAATCTTTTACACTCAGCTGGCATCTATCTAAAGCAGCCATTAGTTTAGGATTAATGAAATGTTTGGTGTCACGCCTTGCAGCATTCTGTATTGGTGTACTCTCGAATATCTCTCCTAAAAATTCACCAACGTTGAGTTCATCTGAACTTGGAAGTTTGTGATCTGAATCGTCAGACAATGAAGGAAGCACAGCAGAAGAGACAGACGCTTCACACCGTTGTTTCTCTTTCCTTTTATCTTCTTGTATTATTCTTTGTCTCGCCCTTTCTTCTTTATTCACGAGGTTTTCGTCTACTCCTGCAAGAGAGATTTTACGTTCTGGTTCTGAAGTAAAAACATCATGGTTTCTTTCAACGTAATCATTTGTAAAGCATTCGGCTTCAAAGAGATTGTTCAAATAACTTCTCAACTCGTCTTCACGATGCTTAAACATATTTTCACACTTCTTAGCGTTTTTTGTAATTTTCTTCACTCCGAATAGTACAAGTGAATAATTTTTTGCGAACAATGATTATTATCTCTGGTCGAAAGTATTGTTTTGTCCCAAAAATTAGGCACTCACAATCCACAAGTTTAGCACTTGCACTAACAGTAAATTTTACTTCCCATATCTTATAAACTAAAATTTCAAGCAATTGTTTATTTGATGTAAATTGTGTCCTGTAATTTTGTGTTTTATACTGTTATTCTTGGGCCTTACTCAACGGTGGGTGATAGGTCAGGACTAGATCGTCAGGAGAGTTCTCGCACAAGTCGGCACGGGTTAGAATACTCCGTCACAATATAATTTTGTGAAGGCATGCTTTAAGGTCATTCGAACAAATTTGGAGGGTGAGAGTTCAAAAATTTGAAAGTCAAAAAATAAGGGACACTTTAATGTCCATATTTATACATTTCAGCCATCAGTTCTGAAACTCATAACTAATCGTAGAGCATGAGCGAAAATTTATTGTGTTAAAACTAATTGCTACATCAACTCAAATTCGACAATCTACAACTGCATTTCATGCAGCGAGAAACATTATCGCTCAAAAATGAGAAGTTATTCTCTGACTATTTCAAACTGCCAAGTTGCGGCGTGGCCATTGCCACATTGTGACCTGATATTTCCTGAAAAAATCTCTTCAGCAAAAGAAGCACGAATGTTTTGAACTCAAAGATTTTCCAAAATGACACGAAACTACTCATATGTGCGAAAAATTGTGCATATTACGAATTAAAGATATAATTTTGAAAAACAGATTTCATTAAGTAAACAATATCTATTCTCAATATCATTGTTATACAATGTTAAGTTTTCAAAAATTCGAAAATACAGAGATCAGTGAAAATGGGATCTGTCATTTTTATAAACGTACTTTTTTCTACAGAGAGGTACCAAAAAATGGGTCCAGCACAATTTTACAAGCGAATTTTGCTCTCTTCGAGAGTAAAAATTGTGAAGCTTTTTGAGAAAATAATATTATTGTTTATCAGTTTCACGCAATTTTCTAAAAATTGTAACTAACCTTATTTATTGGTCTGTCTTTGAAGAAAAATTAATTAAGAAAAGAAAATCTATTTCAATATTGTAGTTGTAAGAAGAAACCGAAAGAAAATTGAATTTCGGCAATTTGCGAATATTCAGAGAATTCAGCGAAAATGAGACGTGCTCCATTTGTATAAGCGTGATTTTTTGCTTCCTGACAAAAAAAGTAACAAAAAATTTAGAACAATTATAAAATTTTTAAGGCTTCATGTAATGTACTACCCCAAATCACAATATCCGTTCCAAATTCATCAACCTGATCGATCAAAAATGATCAATTTTATTAAAAATAAGATTTAGCCGCATTGTTCACAGACGAACAGATGGACACACAAGTGGACAGACGCTTTGCCGTAAACCAATATTTCGGATCAACGTTCTGTTAGCCGTAGATTCTGCCAGAACGAGTTAGTGGAAGGTATTTACTTTAAATAGGAACAAAATAGACCCACATTTTCTGTACCAGGGAACCACAAAACCAGATTTTATGTCGAAAAATCGCCGTTTTTCTGCAGCATTACAATGCTTTCTATATATACAATATAGTATACGAGAAAGTCTGCAGCATTACAATGCTTTCTATATACAACGTAGTACACGAGAAAGTAAAATGTGAATGATAATGACATGTTTTCTTATATTCGTTATTCGTTTTTATTATGTTTTCATCTAATATTAAATTGCAAGTTTCCTCTTTCAACATCATTTACATTAATGAAAATCGAGCATTAATACAACTAAAATCTGTGATTTTTCCTCTGAAAACGTGTTTATACTAGTAGCCTGCAGCAGCAAAAATGGTGTTGAACAAAACCGAACAAGAGACCGAACAAGAAATAGCCCGCACATGCTCGAGATCAACAAATAAAATATTTTCATACAACATTTATTATTATTGTTGTTATTATTATTATTATTATTATTATTATTATTATTATTATTATTATTGGTATTATTTAA